ATATATATATATATATATGTACACATACACACACACACACACACACACATATATATAAATATATATATATATATAAATATATATATATATATATATATATATATATATATATATATATATATATATATATATATATATATATAAATATATATGAGATTTAGACAGAAACACAGAGAGAGAAAGAGAGATGGATTTTCGTTTTCTCCTTCTTCGCCAGGTCGGGGAGGTCCTCGATGTCAAACCAGAGGCGATTCGAGCAGAAAATGTCGAAGGCACTGGTGTAACTTACTCCATGGAGAACGCGCGCAGTGACGGTAAGATTCTTCTTTTGAGACATTCGTGTGCGTATGTGTACCAGCGCGTATGTGTATTTGTGCGCGCGCGCGCGTGTGTGTATGTGTGTGTGTTTGTAAGTGTGTGTTTGCATGTTTTCACTCGCACATTGCATAATGTCAGTCGTTGTATACTGATTGGTAATCACTTTGTTAAGACACTCATGAATCATCCACTCTCCATCCTAGTTAACGGCTTGGAGTACTTCGCCATCGACAGCAGCAGCGGGACGGTCAGTGTGACGAAGGATATCGACAACAGCTTCCTAGAAAATGAAAGAGTCAGTTTCATCCTGAAGGTACGTCCTCGCTGCTCAGAATTGCTCGAAAGACACCCCAGTTTGTGTTTCATCTTACGCATTTTTAGTTATTTCTGACATTTCTTCGTTTCCTTGCATTTCCTCTTTTTTCTCTTCAATGTAACTTGAGAGTATCATTATTTTGTGAAGAAATGAATTAAGAAAATATTTTAAAAAATGAAATCAATTTAATCCGTCAACAATTTATTCACAAACACGTTCATACCATTTATACTTGAGGATGAACCCTTATAAAATACATTTGGATCTCAGTATGGGACTTGCTATCTTAGTCATGAAATGCATTACGCTTGACTGACGGTATTGATCGCAAGCGTTGTTAGGAGATGCACATGTTATCAAAACGATAAACAGTGAAATGAAGTGAAATCCTTCTCGATGCCACATAATTTTAAGTGTAAGTACGGATCTTGGAATTTTCTCAAGTGATTCGGCAACAGCAACGCATCCGAATAAAGAGCACAAATCCATTTTTTGTGGATAACTGATGTCAAACAGTGATGTTCCCGCATCTGTTGTAAGTACTGAACATATGTAAATATTATGGGGCTGGTTAGTGTGAATTTTGACTTTTTTTCACTTGATTTTGTTTTGTGTTTTGAAGGTTGCATAATGCTTCTAATTTCAAACCGCTTAATTAATTTTGATAATTTCATTTTGTTGCATTTGCTTTGTGTGAATGATGCTGGGATTAAAAAAAACATCCTTTGGCGTCCATGGCTCTGGATTCAGATTAATTCGCTCTTGTGAAAGCCACCTAAGGGACACGCATCGCTATTCAGGAAAATGCGTTCAGTCCAGTAGTTTTCTGAAGCCACAAGACAACATATCATAAATATAATGCATATTTTTCTTAAACAAGTGACGACATTGTCAGTGGACACATATTTTTTTCTTTCTTCCTCCTCTAGGCTTCTTATTAGTTTCATTAAAAATATTGTTTACATACAGCGGTAAGTATTTTAGTGACTTCCTTAAAAACACTAAATATGATGAAAGGATAAAGAGGCTTTCTGATATGAATGTAAAAACACGAGGCTGCTTTTTCACGTCTATCTGTTTGTTGCCATTTGTAATTTGCTTGAGACTTTTGCTTTTTCACGATGCACGCGCTCTGCTTCAAAGCTTGAAGTAGAAATAAGCACTCAGAGCGGTTTCTTTATGATGCCTAGGCTGAAGCCACGACCGGCGGCGGCGGCGCAGATTTTTCTGCGCTGGAGGTGACCTTGCCGCCCGTACCGACCACCACCCCGCCGCCCACTACCACCCCCACCACGACCACACCGCCGCCCACCACAACCCCCACCATGGCGACGTGCCCCGCCTGCACGTGCCCAACTCTCGAGACCACCACGCCCTGGCCAACCACCTCGCCGGCCACGTGCCCGCCCTGTGAGCCCAGCACCACCGAGGCGGCGACGTGTACGCCGTGCCCCACCAGCACCCCTTGCCCGACCTTGCCCACGGGTGAGTCGACCGTCGCTGCCACGGAGTGCCCTACCTGTGCCCCGCCAACACTCTCTAGCTGGCTGTCCACCCTTGCCAGCGCCGCCTCATGCCCACCCTGCCCTTCCACCGCCGCGACAGGTACTACCACCACCCCTCATGATACCGAGCCTCCCTACACATCAGATGCTGCCTCGTGCCCACCCTGCCCTACCACAGCCATGCCAGGTACCCTAACGCAGTCCGCCCCCCCCCCCACTCCTCCCAGTTGAGGGACACAGAGTAGACATTCCCAGAAGGGACGCCACAGACAGATACTAATTCGATACAGATTACTTATTCCAGAATTCATGTGAATTGAAATTACATTGATTTTTAACTTCTTTAACAGGCACAACCACCACTCCTACAACTTGCCCAACAACATGCCCCGAATGCCCTACCACTTGCCCTCCAACGGAAGGACCGACAACATGCCCCGAATGCCCCACGACCTACCCCCCCACAGACACTCCTACAACATGCCCCGAATGCCCCACGACCTACCCCCCCACAGACACTCCTACAACATGCCCTGAATGCCCCACGACTTGCCCTTCCACAGAAACTCCTACAACATGCCCCGAATGCCCCACGACTTGCCCTTCTACAGAAACTCCTACAACATGCCCTGAATGCCCCACGACCTACCCCTCCACAGAAACTCCTACAACATGCCCTGAATGCCCCACAACTTGCCCTTCCACAGAAACCCCTGCAACGTGCCCTGAATGCCCCACGACCTGCCCTTCCACAGAAACCCCTGCAACGTGCCCCGAATGCCCCACGACCTGCCCCCCCACAGAAACTCCAACAACCTGCCCTGACTGCCCAACGAGCTGTCCTGAGTGCCCGACATCTTGCCCATCCACAGAGACCCCCACCACTTGCCCATCTGTCACTTGTCCCTCGACCGACCAACCTCCAGGCCCCACGCTGACCTTCAAGAAAGCCTCGTATGCAGGAGAAATTTTCGCCACGACTTCCCGCGTCTGGACGGTCGGGGTCGTTGAAGAAAACGCGGACGTGACGTTTTCCTGGGGTAACTTACATAGATCTGTGTGTGAAGCTTGTTGCGCATACAGGGGCTTTTGTGACTATTTGTCTATGTGTGTGTGTGTGCATTTATGCATATATATATATATATATATATATATATATATATATATATATATATATATATATATATATACATATATATATGTGTGTGTGTGTGTGTGTGTGTGTGTGTGTGTGTGTATCTTTATATACACACACACACACACACACACACACACACACACACACACACACACACACACACACACACACACACACATATATATATATATATATATATATATATATATATATATATATATGCACGCATATGCATATACACACTTGTGTTTCTGTACATAGACGTTGCGCTTCTCTGCTTGCTAAGAAATCATGGAGACTGCACTGGTAAGTATTTCTACTCTTTGCGTCCGGTACGTGCTTCGGAAAGGTAAGCTTGGTCGAGCGCGACCCCAGAGGACAAGAACAAAACAGCCGAATCCGCGTTCGATGAAGGGAACAGTTCAGCTTCGAGCTGTGGAAGGCGCGGCATTTCGAGCCAGCAAACGCGGCCAGGTTCCGGTGAACATGCTTGCGTGCGAAGGCAGGCCATCTACTGTCCACCCCGTCATATCATATGCTTTTTATCTCTCTTCTTCCGTTTCGTCCTTTATCCCACTTTTTCTCTTCTCTCCGCCACTCGCCACCGTTCCTTCCGACGCCGCCGCCCCTCCAGGCCACGGGCGAGGACGCCTCCTACGACGTCAGTGTCCTGGATGTGCAGATGCCCTTGGTTCCCTTCGTCGGCTTGCACTTCGAGAAATTCATGTACGCCACGGAAGTCCTCCGGCCCGGCCAGGGCGACGTGGTCCTGCGCGTACACGCCGTCGCGACCAACGGAAGCCTGGGCAAAATTGCCTACGATTTTGGTAAAGGCAGTTGGAGTGTTCTCGTGGTGTGTGTATGTGACTCTTTCTTCCCCCTTTTTGTCATCGTTTGTTTATAAAACAATAGTTTTTGTTATCATTGCTTGTTTTTTCCTTTTACTTTTTTCATTTCTTCTTTGTTTGCAACACCTCAAGTGTTTTTTCTCTCTTTCGACCTCTTTTTTAACCTCTTTAAAATATCTTTTTGTCATTCTCTTATGTGTGAATATCATTTCTCTTTTATCTTTCATCATCAGTGTTTTCGAAAATGTAAATATTCATATAACGTACCTTTTTCTCGCTTTTGGCTTTATATTTTCGTCGTGTACCGTAGGTCTTCACGCGAGATAGAGTTTCCAAGATTTTCCTTCCTACGGTAAGTTACATTAGCACATTCCATATCTTATCGACCCGAGTCTCTTCATTTGCAAGCGTATCTAGTATGTGAAAAAAAGAAAAAAAGTATCAATAATAATTAATAATTTCACTGCGCATTTCTTACATTGCGAAGTCACTAATTCTTACCCATACCTTTTTCTTTATCATTCTTATTCTACCTTATTCCACCTTATCATTCTTATTCTACAACTGCCACGGTAATCTCTGTCTCTCTCTATTCCGTTTCGTTCGACGTCACCCAAAAGGAAACGGAAACTAAAGTAAAAAATCTTTGATAAACTTCTGCCTTTGTTCCTTGTTTGTATATGTCATTAATCTATCTACTTAATTTTTGTGTTTGTCTGTGAAATAAATGAATGTTATCAAAATCTAAATCCAGTTATGATACGACTCAATCTACGAAATATCTAATCAGGCTTACATCCCACCTAATTCAGTCTATCTTAACGAAATAATCGAAATGGTCTGTCACTTACAAAAGACTTTACTTTATTCCCAAA